TTTTATACGTCTTGACGTGCAGTGGTTATAAGGAACGTGATGTAATGCTGCATTGGAAGGTTCCTACTTATGAGTTTGGAAATGATAATTGCAGTACCACATGATGTACATTCAAGTCATTTTAGTCGTAACAAAATGGACTAACAGGACTTCACTTTTTGACAAAACCAGGAAGCTTTTTAGCGCTAATGCAACATAATGAAGAGCAAAGGATGCATATTACATGTGTAATTGATGCTTTATCTGTGATTTATCATTCTAGTTCGGCTGTAGAGAATGATGGGAAATGTACACTGAACAAAATTATAAACGCAACACTTTTGTTTTTGCCCCCATTTTTCATGAGTTGGACTCAAAGATCTAAGACTTTTTCTATGTACACAAAAGGCCTATTTCTCTCAAATATTGTTCACAAATCTGTCTAAAGTTAGTGAGCACTTCTCCTTTGCCGAGATAATCCATCCACCTCACAGGTGTGGCATATCCAGATGCTGATTAGACAGCATGATTATTGCACAGGTGTGCCTTAGGCTGGCTAAAATGTGCAGTTTTACTGTATTGGGGGGTCCGGGGATGAATGGCACAACCATGGGTCTCAGGATCTCGTCACGGTATCTCTGTGCATTCAAAATGCCATCAATAAAATTATTTGGTTATGCAAACCGATTGTTGCAGCAGCTGTTCAGGTGGCTGGTTTCAGATGATCTTGGAGGTGAAGGTGCTGGATGTGGAGGTCCTGGGCTGGTGTGGTTACACATGGTCTGCGGTTCTGAGGCCGGATTCTCTGAAATGCCTTTGGAGACGGCTTATGGTAGAGAAATTAACATTCAATTCACGGGCAACAGCTCTGGTGGACATTCCTGCAGTCAGCATGCCAATTGCACGCTCCCTCAAAACTTGCGACATCTGTGGCACTGTGCTGTGTGATAAAACTGCACATTTTAGAGTGGCCTTTTATTGTGGCCAGCCTAAGGCACACCTGTGCAATAATCATGCTGTCTAATCAGCATCTTGATATGCCACACCTGTGAGGTGGATGGATTATCTCGGCAAAGGAGAAGTGCTCACTAACACAGATTTAGACAGATTTGTGAACAATATTTGAGAGAAATAGGCCTTTTGTGTACATAGAAAAAGTCTTAGACCTTTGAGTTCAGCTCATGAAAAATGGGGGCAAAAACAAAAGTGTTGCGTTTATCTTTTTGTTCAGTGTAGTTTGATGTGACATGTATGTTTCCTAATAAACGAGCAAAATGAATAATATTTCCTAACTGAATTTAGCTCTCAAAATGTATACAGATACACAGATTTTACTGCCAGCATTCACAATTATTGTGATCAGTGGAAATTTGCTTCCATCATGATTCTTGAAATTAACACGTCATGATAACTCTAAAAGTCTGAGCTTAAAGAAAGTCCTGAGTTTCCCACTAGTAATTTTGACTTGATTACGTGCTCAACTCTGACATGAACTGAATTCACCATAAATGGCCATTTACAACAGACTACAAGAATTACATTGCTAATGTAAAACCAGAAGTTAATCTGCTTAGAAAAGTAGTCCCACTTTAAAAGGGACATTTAGTCAACTTTACAGCTCAAATAACTTGTTTTATTGAATAATTCATGTAAGTGCTTTAATAAAAATACAGCCCTTAAATTTGTTTTTTAAAACCCTCTGGAACCCTGTGGCCTGGTTTACTTTCATTGTAAGTACACCACCATTCAAAAGTTTGGGGTCAGTAAGATTTCTTTTAAAAATAAATTAATACATGTATTCAGTAAGGCTGTGCATTGAACTATTTAAAAATGACTGTAAAGACATTTATAATGTTACAGAAGATTTTGATTTCAAATAAATGCTGCTCTTTTGAACTTTCTGTTCATCAAATAAGCTATAGCCTATTAGATTACTGAGCACAAATGTTTTCAACGTTTATAATAAGAAGAAATGAATGATTTCTGAAGGATCATGTGACACTGGAGTAATGATGTTGAAAATTCTGCTTCGCTATCACAGAAGTAAAGTACATTTTAAATAATATTAAAATAGAAAGCAGCTTCAAAAAATCTCACAAACCCCAAAGTTGACTGGTAGTGTACTGTATGTTACTGTAAATACAAATATTGCCTGGGCGACAAGTGAGATGTTTTCTATGCCACAAATACTGAAGTTGTGTTGAACTCAAAAACATTCCTTTAAAGTCACATGTGTGCGGGTATCGGTCAGTCTAATTGTAGTACGTGAAGTGTGTGTTGAGTGTGTGTTGAGAGTCTGTTCTCTCCACTGTAAGAGCTACTGATAACCTTCCTAACCTGTGTGACAAGGACAGGAAGCTCTTCTCCCACAGGAATGCCACACACACACAAAGCCTTTTTTCTCACACACGATTCTGCTTTTGTTTCTTATGAGCAAGAACGACTAGCTTTAATAAACATGCCCTAGTTTAGCATGCTATGGTAATGTATGTGATTTGTGAATGGATCCACCCATCATTACGTGAATGTGTTTCCGCATTTCTTTTCACATGGAAACATGAAGCCCGTAAAAAAAAACGAAAGCCCAACCTGGCTTAATTTGTTTACATGTAAATAGCCGTTGGTGTGGCTGGCTGTTTAGAGATGATGATAAAATGGTAATTAGCCTCTGTGAGTCGTTTAGTCATTTGTTTACATAGAAAGAATTCAAAGGAAACTCCCTGAGATTCCACAGCAGCCAAATTCTCCTGGAAACTGGAAGCTCCAGACACGTCCTCTGCTGTGCTTTGATCTGACACGGTTTCCTTTGAAAACAAGCGTTTCGGGGTGGGATTTGGATCCAGAACGGCCTATTCATTCTCATTAGAGTCACTTGTTGAAGACAGAAGAACAAAATATCCTATTTCTAGAAATTCAGTCGTCAAAAACCTTGAAGTCTCAGCGCCTTCAGATGATTTACACAGCGGAAGAGAGCACTTTCATTAGGGCTCTGAAAAAACAGGAAGAGAGACGAGCAGAGTAGATGAATGAAATGTAAAAGAAGAGGATGAGTTTCTACTTGTAGAAGGTAATTTATTGAATAAAGAAACAGAGCGAGAGTGTAGAGTGTGGTTGGATCCACACCTGCGCCAGTAAATGCCAGCCTGCTCCCGAGGCAGCCAGCATACCCACAGAAATTTTCATGAGAAGTGTGGTTTTGTCATTGAATGTCCTGAAGCGAGAGGTTATAGTGGCAGATTAAGCCAGTCATTCGTATCCCATGATGCATCCGTGCCCTCTTTGCCGATCCGTACAATTGACAGATTTCTGCAGGTTTGCTCTGCCACAAAGAAAGTAAAAAATATGAACGTTTTTATTGTATAACATGTTTTAAACACTGGATGTGCATTTTGCTGGTTAAATGAAAACAAACTGATTAAAGTCAATGTGACAAGCCATTTGCAGCCTATATTTTTTTTTTTGTAGTGTGACATATTTATGAATGAGACTAGAGCAGGGCTGTCCAAACTCAGTCCTGGAGGGCCGGTGTCCTGCAGAGTTTTGCTCCAACTTGCCTCAACACACCTGACTGGAAGTTTCTATGCCTAGTAAGAGCTTGATTAGCTGCTTCAGGTGTGTTTAATTAGGGTTGGAGCTAAACTCTGCAGGCCCTCCGGAACCGAGTTTGGACAGCCCTGGACTAGAGGATATTTGGTGAAAAGAAGGAAGGAACTGATTTTGCATTGAATTTTGTATTCAATTGAAAAGAGTTACAAACCAGAATGGAGCTAAATGGAAATGCAAAAAAAAAAAAAAAAAAACCCACAGTTTCCAAAAAAATTATAAGCAGCAAAACTTTTTTTTAACATTCAGCGGAAGAGAGCACTTTCATTAGGGCTCTGAAAAAACAGGAAGAGAGACGAGCAGAGTAGATGAATGAAATGTAAAAGAAGAGGATGAGTTTCTACTTGTAGAAGGTAATTTATTGAATAAAGAAACAGAGCGAGAGTGTAGAGTGTGGTTGGATCCACACCTGCGCCAGTAAATGCCAGCCTGCTCCCGAGGCAGCCAGCATACCCACAGAAATTTTCATGAGAAGTGTGGTTTTGTCATTGAATGTCCTGAAGCGAGAGGTTATAGTGGCAGATTAAGCCAGTCATTCGTATCCCATGATGCATCCGTGCCCTCTTTGCCGATCCGTACAATTGACAGATTTCTGCAGGTTTGCTCTGCCACAAAGAAAGTAAAAAATATGTTTTTATTGTATAACATGTTTTAAACACTGGATGTGCATTTTGCTGGTTAAATGAAAACAAACTGATTAAAGTCAATGTGACAAGCCATTTGCAGCCTATATTTTTTTTTTTGTAGTGTGACATATTTATGAATGAGACTAGAGCAGGGCTGTCCAAACTCAGTCCTGGAGGGCCGGTGTCCTGCAGAGTTTTGCTCCAACTTGCCTCAACACACCTGACTGGAAGTTTCTATGCCTAGTAAGAGCTTGATTAGCTGCTTCAGGTGTGTTTAATTAGGGTTGGAGCTAAACTCTGCAGGCCCTCCGGAACCGAGTTTGGACAGCCCTGGACTAGAGGATATTTGGTGAAAAGAAGGAAGGAACTGATTTTGCATTGAATTTTGTATTCAATTGAAAAGAGTTACAAACCAGAATGGAGCTAAATGGAAATGAAAAAAAAAAAAAAAAGAAAATCCACAGTTTCCACAAAAATATTAAGCAGCACAACTTTTTTTTAACATTGATAATAATAAAAAATTATTTCAAAACATTTTTAAAAACATTAAAATAGAAAGCAGTTTTTTTTTTATTATTTAATATTTGTATATAATAATTAATATAGTTTTATTCACTTACATGACTTGCAAAAGTGTCTTTTATTAATTAGATTTTGCGGAAAAAATGTACCTCACACAATTTTTGTATTCTGGTTTTAAAATACTTATTGGTTTTTAGCTGTGCCATTTTTTTAAATGTACGTTTCTAATGACATTAAATTCTCTTTCTTTCCCTCTCTGTCGTTCTCCAGGTTTAGCGATGATAAGGGTTATGTCCTGTACCCTCAAATCGGGGATCGTCTGGACCTCATTTGCCCAGCGTCTGAGCCGCCCGGTCCCCGGTCCCCCGCCGAATACGAGTACTATAAACTGTACCTGGTGTCGTCACGGGATCAGGCAGACAGGTGTGAAGTGACCGGAGCCCCTAACCTGCTTCTCACCTGCGATAAGCCCAGCAGTGATATGCGTTTCACCATCAAGTTTCAGGAGTACTCGCCCAACCTGTGGGGTCACGAATTTAAAACCAATCAGGACTACTTCATCATCGGTGAGTGCGATTTCAATTAAAGCATGTCTGTTGACACACATCAAAACTTTCGATTATTTTGCCAAGCAAGTTTTAATTGTGAAAAGGTTATCTGTATATAATAGACTTACACTTTGTGTGTTCATACAGCATCCGCCCTTGTTTATTGTTTTAATCAGTGTTAGAAGGGATGGCACGATGGTTTTCATCACTGCGTTTACATTGGGTTTGTTTTTAGGTCAGGCTAGTCGGCTCTCAGCGAAGTCACAATCTTCTGCTGGGATTCGGCTGATTGTGACTTTATCAACTGGAACCATCTTGTGTTGGGTTGTGTTACTGGGGGCTGTTTTTAAAACAGTGCACAGTAGCGTAGAGGGAATGAGGCCAACGTAAACGGAAGCCCGTCAATATCAACATGTCAGAAAGTAGATTTGACACAGGAAAGTGATGTCCTAACACGCTTAGACCCAAAACACGCAATGGGCGTGTTTTTAGCATCTATTGCCAGAATTCCTCCAGTCATAGAATACCTGGAAAAGTAAGTGAATTTGAAAGATTTTCCGATCTAGCAAAGTCATGGAGGTGTAATAAAAAGTTAGGGAAATAGACTGTTCTAGTGAATATATGTTTGCTCGTTCTAGCTTAATGTCCCTAAATCCTCAGTTGAAGCACACTCAATTTTCTTTGGCCGTTTTTGACACATTTGTATATTAAAAAGTATATTTGTTGTCACAAAACCTGAAACTGCATTTGCAACCAACATTTTAATTCCATAATGTGATATGGTTCCAAAAAGGATATTCAGCAGCTGGAAAAAATGTAAGTCTGGGCTTCATTTTATCCATCAGGAAATGATTTGCTCATGAAATTGGACGTTAGTACAACCCTGGTGTGTACAAATGAATTATGCAGAGTAAAAAAACATGTGTATTAAGAAAGTAAACGGAGTCATTTTTTGAATATAATCTACTGATCAAGAGTTTGGGGTCTGTAAGATTTTTGTTTTTGAAAGAAGTATTTTATGCTCACCAAGACTTCATTTATTTGATCATAAATACAAACATTATTACAATTTAAAATAACTCTTTTGAATGCTTAAATATTTTAAATGTAATTTATTCCTGTCATGGCAAAGCTTAATCAGCAGCATTCCTCCAATCTTCAGCGTCACATGATCCTTCAGAAATCATTCTAATATGCTGATTTGATGCTCAAGAAAAATTCTTATGATAAATGTTGAAAACAGATGTGCTGCTTAATATTTTTGTGGAAATCGGGATACAATTTTTTCCTTTGTTACATATAAAAATTGTATTTATTTGAAATAGAAATCTTTTGTAACATTTTATCTATCTTTAATGACAGTTTTATCCTTGCTGAATAAAATTAATAATTTCCATAAAAATATCTTACCACAAACTTTTGAACAGTAGTGTATTTTATTTAAATATACAATTTCCAATGATTGGTACCTTATGTATGGAAATCTCTCCTAGCAATATCTATAATGTAATTTTTCTAGAAAAATCATGGACTAGTCAAGGAATTTGATTGGCTAAGGTGTGTGAGCCCTTTATTCACATAAAGAAACAGAAATTTTGGAAGAGAAAGAATGGATGTGACCAAAAAGAGAGATGATGGCTCTTTCACCAGGGTTAGTTATCAGTCAAATTGTATTTATATTTTTCAAAACCAGATAATGATGTGATCCGCATTTCAAACACAGGAGATAAAAGATCGTTGGTGCTTAGGAGCCTGAGGTTATATTTTTGTGTTTGTTTTTATGACATGTGCAAAGTGTGTGTGTGAAGGTGTGGCAGGTGTATTGTGTCTAATATTAGTTGTTCAGGTCTCGCAGACACTGTGTCTCTGTGATAAGAATCAAACTCCTTCCACTGGCTCCTTAATGGGCAAACAAGTGTGAGTTTTCTGGTATGTGGACGTCAGGAAGAATCCAGGGCGCTTCCGTGTTCTGTTAAGCCTTAACGTAGGTGTCAGTGGCACTCACACTCATACACACACACACACACACACACACACACACACACACACACACACACACACACACATGCTGCAGGCTTTATCGTTGCTCCAACAGGCCCGACGAATCGATCGACAGGCTGTGCCAGTCTATGAGTCCTCAAATGCAAGGTCAGAGGCACACACACACACACACATATGCTACGAGATGAAAAAAGAGAGCGAGAGAAACCATCAAACAAGCATCCACATGGAAAAAAGGAGAAAATTGATTTTAAGGGTCACTGAACATTTAATTTAGTGTTTATGTGTGTGCATACGTGTTAAAAATAGTTGTGTGTGTGCGATTTGGGTGCATTTGTACAGCATCTGTCATGACCTGTTGATGTTCTATTTTCCAAAAGAGTGCACATTTGATGGCTTCTGACATCTTCATGCCCATGTGTTGGCGCATATGTGTGTGTGTGTAAGGGTATGTGTACATTAGAGATTTGGACCTTAGGGAGAATGGTATTAATTAACCTACCTTAACATGCGCTAATTTATTCAGCCTAGCTCAAATGAGCTGGAACAGGAATGATTCATGAAATAGAGAGAGAAAGAGAGAGTGTTTATGTGGAAGAGAGCATTGACAGGTCATTATGGCTGCTCCAGTCTCGTTGTCTAATTATCACATGGGTCATGAAGACGCCCTTAGGTCACTAATAACAGTGTTTACACACTCTCACACGCGTGCATTTAAAGGAATAGTTCACCCCAAAATCAAAATGATCATCATTTGATAAACAATTGTCGTCATTTACCCACTTTCATGTCCAAATCTATGACTTTCTGCACTATTCAGTAGGCTATATCTGTATCATATTAGCGGTGTTACTTATTTTAGTATTATTTATAAGCTATTATTGTACTTATTAATATTGTGAATTTTAGTTTTAAAGTTTAATTCTGTATTTTTATTTAAAATTGTTTTAGTAATTTTGTTATGTACTTTTGTCATTTTAATTTTTTTATCTATTTCTATTTAGCTTTAATTTATTTTGATTTCAGGTTTAGTTTGACTAATTTTAGTGCTTAAACATTTCAGTTTTTATTTCTAAGTTCTAAGTTTTTCATCTGATATTTATATTTTATTTTATTTAAATTAATGAAAATTTCAGTTTTATAATCAATTTTTAGTTTTATGCATATCAGTTACCACACAATATTTTATTTTATTTTAATTTATTTTTTGGTTTAGTTTAGTTTAGTTTAGGTCAGTGTATATATCTGTATAGTGTTTATCTGTATAGGGCAGCATTGAATATTTTTTAAAAGCTCATTTTAATAAATGCCTAAATTCACTTTTAAATATTTTTATTTTATTTTTAGTGGAGTTTATTTTATATTTTTTATTTTATTATTTTATTATATATTTTTAAACTAAATGGTATAGAATTTTATTATCAGTCATTTACTTGCCATACAATGAAATGGAATAAATGGTGTGGAATTTTAGTATCTATGCATAACCAATTGTTTACAATTGACAAAGCTATCAGTAACATTTGGAGAATTTTGTATATTTACAATGAAAATAGCACCCAATAGCACTGTAGTTTTATTGTCCTTTTTGGTCCTTTTTGCCATTTGACAGCCCTAGGTTACCATGTGCTTTTGTTGTAAAGCATCTTCTATTGTGTTCCATTAAAGAAAGCAAGTTTGGAATGACATGAGGAGGAGTACATGATGACACAATTTTCATGTTTGGCTTAGCTATTCCATTAAAGCATGATTTTCCTTGCTTTGCAGTCATTCCAGTATCTATCTTACAGCAGAGTTGCTCGTAAACACACACACACACACATGTTGCTGTCAGTCAGCGTGAGGGATTTGAGGTACCTGACTGCGGAGCTGCTCTGGGTTTCTTATCGCCGTGGCATTGCTGTGGCAGCGGACACAGACAGATGGCTAACTGTCACTCAAACTGAGAGAAGAGAACTCAAGAGGAAAAGAGGATGAGAGAGTGAGGGGAGAGAGGAAGAAGAACAAGACGGACAGACGGGTCTTACCAGGGTTTACCGTGTTTCTCCAAAGAACAGCAGCTCAGACACACACGCAGATGCCAAAAATCTCTGTAGGGTTCTTTTACGACTCTGTGAATCATCATCTTTGTGCGTGTACGTGTGATGTCTTGAGTTTTTCATGGTGCCATATTGTTTTGATCCATATTAATTGCTTCTGTTTTAAGATTTGCGTGAACAGAACAAAAACAGAGGGACAGGAATAGAAGGAGGGAAGGAGAAGAAAACAGAGAGAAGAGGCAGTCGAAGAGCAAAGGGAGCGAGGGATTCAGAGAGATCTATATTTGATGAATATTTGAACGTTTTAAAGCCCCCAGACCAAAGTTTTCCCTTCTTACTGAGGCAAAAGCTAACCACAAACACCTGGGAGAAGAGAAAGGTAAATGAGAGAAAGAGAGCGAGAGAGATTTTTGCACTTAAATTCCCAGCAGCCTCTATTTTTTTTTATCAGTGCACATCTGGCTCTTGCGATCCGATTGGATCAGAAGAAATTCATTTCGCGCCTTTAGCCAATCAGAACATTTTGGTGCAGACCGATGAGCAAAACCATTCCCTGAGTGATGACAGTGATCAGAATAACAATGGCAAGTATGGATTCGAGGAACATCAAGGAAACATACACACACATATATAGTCCACAGATGAACATGTGAGCCATGTTGACCGACCCTGACAGAATGACTGATCAAATCATGTTTTTTTGGGTCAGGTTTGGCCTTCAATGTGACGACCAAACGTCACAGGGCATTTAAAACCCAAAATCACCTACCAGAGATTTGATTCTGATTGTGAATCCATTCCGATTTCAATTTGATTCAGTTTGATTCTGATTCATTTGGGCATATGGGTCACAGTTTTTGTCCGTTTTGCTTACACGTGTAAGAAACGTTTTCCAAAAATGACAAAAATATGAATTAAAAAAAATTAGAAGTAGTGCTGAAATGCTGTTCGGTTGCTATTTAACACATATAATCAGCA